TTTTATTTATTTTATATATACTTTCTTGATTATAAATGTCAATAATATCAAGACATAAATTTTATATTAATATGTATATAAATTTAGTTAATCAGCCAAGTATTGTTTTGAAAATTAAAAAAGATGAATTTGTAATCTTTTTATTTATTTATTTTATATATACTTTCTTGATTATAAAATTGGATGCCTTTGATTTCTCCTTTTTTCAAGTCCTTGTGATACAGGTTGTCAAGAAAGCAATTGAGCTCTGTAGCAAATTAGAGATTTAGTCCAAGCTTGGTCCAATCTTATATTAAAATTTATTACTAATTGCTTTCCGCCTTCTTTACATTCATTCCACATTTTTCCATTCATTCTGCACTTGTTTTTGCATTCATGATATCATTTTGCCATCTCATTTTTTATATATCATAATCATGCTACTTTGCTCATTTGCACTTATAATTATAAATATGGACAATGATTGGTGCACACCCGGATGCAACACCCAGGTGTGCATCCCCACATAAAAAAAAAAAAAAAATTGGACCGGGTGATGGGCATTTTTTTTTTTATATGATGTGTGCACACCCAGGTGTTGGATCCGGGTGTGCACACATCATTTTCCTATAAATATACATTGCTATTTTAGAGATGGAAAAGTGCAGGGACTCCATGTGGGGTGGGTTCTAGAGAAATCCTTTTATGGTGAGCCCTCCTGTACAAGCTATGAACAACTCCTCCATCAAAAATTTTAAAAGGCCACGGGCCCAAACCATAAGGCTCAATAGCTTTCAAAGACGATCAAGTAAATTTCTTTTCTAGCATCATTTATGAGAGGCTAGATTTTTTCTCCACATTTGCTCTTGAGTTAAGGCAAGGAGGAGTTAACATTGTTCATAAGAAGCTAAATTCCTTCTCGAGTTTCTATCTCATCAAGCACAATTCTTTCTCAAGTATAAATTAATTCTGCTCTGCAAGTCAAGTAAGTGTTAGATATTAGAAATTTCAAAATTACTTTGCACATTTAAGATTTTTATGAGTTATTTTACATGTCCAATTTTTGTTCTTATATTTACAAGCTAGAAAGACTTTTTATTACCACATGCCTGACTGCTTGTTTATTGGATATGTTCAAGCATAAAAATGCAAATAGTGTAATTTATGATTACAACATTTCTGTTTAACGGCCCCAAATGTGCAGGTTAAGGGGGGAGAAGAGTCATCTATTATGACTTCTAATAGGAACCTATGATTAAAAGGTGCAGCTTTGTAATTTACTTTAGTTACAATTATTAACTGTGATACTGAGCTTAAGATATATATATATATGTGTGTATATATATGTACCCTTATCATATAATATGGTCAGCCTTGGACTTTAACAACAGGAACTTCATGTGCTGACTTAGGAACTTAAACAAGTTCATAAAACTTGGTTGAGCTCATCCTCACAACCCATCCCGACGTGAAATACCTTGGATGAGGTAAACAACCTTGGATGAGCTCAATCCGAGCTTAACTACTTGAGCTCATCCTCACAACCCATTCCCAGGTGAAATACCTTGGATGAGGTAAACAACCTCGGATGAGCTCAATCCGAGATTAACTACTTGAGCTCATCCTCACAACCCATTCCGAGGTAAACCACCTTGGATGAGGTAAACAACCTTGGATGAACTCAACTACTAAAGCTCATCCTCAAGCCAACCCATTCCAAGGTGAACTACCTTGGATAAGGTAAACAACCTCGAATGAACTCAACTACTTGAGCTCATCCTCAGGCCAACCCATTCCAAGGTGAACTGCCTTGGATGAGGTAAACACTCTCAGATGAGCTCAATTGCTTGAGCTCATCCTCATGATAACCCATTTCGAGGTGAACTACCTTGGATGAGATAAACAACCTCGGATGAGCTCAACTGCTTGATCTCATCCTCATGATAATTGGGTGAACTACCCCGGATGAGGTAAACAACCTCGAATGAACTTAGCCTATGCTTGAGCTCATCCTTGTGATAGCCTAGTTCGAGGTGAACTACCCCGGATGAGGTAAATGACCCCAGATGAGGCAAACGACCTCAGATTAACTCGGACTACCCCCTACCCACATAACCTCCACGTCATTCACAAGTGAATGACTCCCAGAGGGGGAATAGTGTGATGGTTGTCCGATGTGAACCACTTTGGATGAGGTAAACAACCTCGGATGAACTCGACTACTTGAGTTCATCCTCATAACAACCCATTCTGAGGTCAACTACCTTGGATGAGGTAAACCTCGGATGAACTCAACTACTTGAGCTCATCCTCATGACAACCCATTCCAAGGTGAACTCCCTTGGATGGTGTAAGCAACCTCGGATGAGCTCAACTACTTGAGCTCATCCTCATGACAGCCCATTTGGATGAGGTAAACAACCTAAGATGAAATCAACTGCTTGAGCTTATCCTTATGCTAGCCCGTCCGAGGCGAACTACCTTGGATGAGGTAAACAACTTTAGATGAACTTAACTGCTTGAGCTCACCCTTATGACAGTTGAGCTCAGGTCTAGCTTGCAACTAGCTTGCCATTTCACCAGCTATCTTGTGTTCCACCTCTCATGGGCCATTCATCAATAAGATATGCTAGCCCCTATTTATTAAATATACTGAATATAATATATTCTTCATGTTTCAACTAAAAGTGAGTGGCTTAAATGACATTTATTTATGTTAATACATTTGTAAAGCCTCATGCAAATGGTGGAATAATCCACAAGCTAATGGTATCCACGAGCTGGTGATCTTTATTATTGGTTCTAACTTAAAGATATAAATCTCTTTTTGAGAGGGGGAGTAGGAATACATAAGCAACAAAAATAAACTTTCATATTTTACTTGGCATCTGTTTAACTTGCTGCTTGAATATATTTTGAAACTCATATTTTAGCATTGTTTATTTTGATGACTCATGTCACAAACATTTATATTTAATTCCAAA